ATCATCAATAAAGGCCAATTCTCTTCAGCACCAAAGCCCACACATTTCTTTGGCTCATTTGTTCTTGCAAGATCGCTTGTGAAACTATGGGTCTTTGAAAATGCCAACAGATGCCCTGTTTCTCAGTTACATTCTCCGCCAATCCTTTCTGCCTCCGAAATAATAAGTAGGAACTATGCCGGAGCTGTAATTACTCTATGAAAGGACTGAGCAACTAGAGAGGCCATTTTTCAACTCGTGCCCATCCAGGGAGCCACACCAGAAGGCCTAGTAAGACTAGAAGTGAAGTCACATCACTTTAAGTTTCTTTTTCAACCAGTTTTGGGAGGCTTAGATTTTGGGAGGGCTTATGTTTGGGGGTAGTTAACCATGCACAGTGGTTTGAGCATTGGACTATATCTTAGGAGCCCAGGCTTTAAATTTTAGGATGGACATTGTAACACAAATTTGGCTCCCAAATCTTGATCCTTGGGATTATTTTGATTTCAGTTCCCAGAAAACCCAGTTAACTTGGCCAGTGACCAGGGATCCTGGGAGCTGATGTCCAAAATATTTGGAGGATTGACGTTTGAGAACCACTCATTGGTAGGATTCCACTTTTCCAACGTATCTTGTCTGCATCGTAGATTCTAGATCAACGTCAGCACCTGCAGTTTCATCCTCTTTAAATGAAGGTTGGATTTTTAAAAACCACGTGGTTTACAGTCTCTCCATCTTTGTATTGTAAACTGCTCCAAGTGTATTTTATAAAGAAAACACAAAAATAATTATGTTTAATTAAAAAAATGCCAAGGAGATGGTCAACTGTGAAATCATGACTATAACACCATTCTGAGAAAAGGTAAACTGTTTATTCAACAGGATAAGTCCACACCCATCCACTGGTTTGATCTACATGGCATCATCAGCATACATAACATAGGATCCAATCAGACACTCTAACTGAATGGCATTTTATCATACGTTACAGAGACAATATCCATAAGAAGGACAACAATCATGATACAGGGCAGCCAACCAGCGGTTTTCTAAAGTTTTCTGGCAAGAACGAAAAAGCAGCCACTCAGAAGCAAATTGGGTTTGGAAGGCCTATTGCCATCCTGTGAAAAACTGCAGCACTGCTAGGAATCATATAGTCCAGAATTATTTAAAAAAAAAAACAATCCACTATTAGGTTTTGTTTAGTCTAAGAGAGAAAAAGTGCATGGTCCTTATATCATTAAAGGGTCTTAAACATTTATTCAGTTTGCTTATGGTGGTTTCTGTACAGCAATAATATAAGGGTGGGTGCCATTGCTTTGAAATCAGCACCATTACACACAAAGTTGAAAAAAAGAATACTTCCATCAAATTACAAGGTCAGGGAAGAGACTACAATGACTGTCAGCCATCTCTCTGAGTGTTAGCTAAAGTAGCTTTGACTGAGCAACAACATTCTGAATTTCTGCTCATGGTCAGAGGCCAGTTCTGTGAAATTTCCATTGTTTCGTCCTGAAGGGGAAATTCCCCCATCTTTTGGCATACATTAGGGATTGGCAACCATGAAAAGCTGGAGGACTACATGGGGCTGTGGCGTCACAACCCGCCTTGCATGCTCTAGAGACCTAATCTTAATTTACAATTCATAAATCCTTTTTACTTCCTGTTTGAAAAAAGGACTTACAATAGCCAAGGCATAGCACAACTTTCTACATTTCAGATGTAAACAAAAAGACTTTCCCCCCAATTATTGAATTCTGGCACAGATTTTAGGATCTCAAGAGTTCTGAAAATCATATTCCTGTCATCCCTTCTTGTGGTGTGCCTTCAAGTCATTTTTGACTTGTGGTGACCCTATTATTTGGTTTTTTTTGAAGGAATCAGAGGGGGTTTCCCTTGACTTTACGATGAAGGCTGAGATAATATGACTTGGCCAAATGAGTTTCCATGGCTTAATGGGGATTCAGATCCTGGTCTCCAGAGTCATAGTCCAATACTCAAACCTCTACACCAAACTGATACTTCTCCCCACCCTTAGCATATACCAGATACGAAGAAGTTTTAGACTTTGTTCACAGACCATTGATGAAAAGGGGACAGTCCCCATTTTATTTATTAAATATGCCAATTTAAAAATGTTTTTAAGGCTATGCCTGGTATTTAAATATTATAAATGCTACAATGCATCACCCTCTTCCACTATGGCATGGCATTTGAGGATACTATATACATCCTGGAAGTGGTTTCAGGTCATCCAAGCACAAGCAAATTCCATTACTGATTAGAATCAAGATAAACAAACAATACTGGCACAGTGACCAAGAGATTAAATGCATGGATGTGCATATTCGCCTTCTTGCTTGCATTTGCTGCTCTCATGCATTTCAAATTATCCAAACCAGGTGCTGTTATGCCTAAGAATAAGATGAATTTACAAGGTATTCTTTTTAGTAAATGGAACTTTTGCAAATCAATAGTCTGTACCCCAAGCCTAGACAAGATGAGTTGGTAGAAATGCTACCCAAGGTGAATATTTGATGATTCTATAACATATGAAGCAAATATTTTGATTTAGTACGACCAAAATTGTTGGGAGAATATCTTCTGTGATTTATAGCAGTCACTGGCAAGTTCACAAGTGTACATTAAGTGGGCAGGGCATGTATTCCTTCCAACCTGCATACATTTCTTGCTCACATGGCAAAAAGGGGAAAGGACTTTAAAGCGACACACCCATAGCAGAACATAAACTGTACAAGAGATATCTTCATATACGTCCAGTTCCAAAGCACATTTAATCCAAACATTTGTTCCGGTGCTCAAAAGGCACTTAAAGATTTTTTTTTAATAAAAACCAAACACAACCCAGTAACAACAAATGAAAAAATAGAAACAAAAATAATTTAATTTAAAAAGGCAATGGAATTGTATTGTACCTTTCAGGGAAAAAATATAAATCCTCAAATGACATCATGGTTTTGTTCTCAAGTCATTTTCAAAAGTATGTTCAGAACTCACACACACACACTCACACACACAGTCAAAGAAACCATCCTCCAAGATTAAAAAATGGGGAAAACAATGGGCTGTTGTAGGTTTTTTGGGCTACATGGCCATGTTCTAGAAGCATTCTCTCCTGACGTTTCGTCTGCATCTGTGGCAAGCATCCTTAGAGGTTGCTTGCCACAATCAATGAGGATGCTTGCCACAGATGCAGATGAAACGTCAGGAGAGAATGCTTCTAGAACATGGCCATGCAGCCCAAAAAACCTACAACAACCCAGTGATTCTGGCCATGAAAGCCTTAGACAATAAGGGGAAAACATTACTGGCAAGGAAGATAACAGCAGTTTGCCAAATGGCTTTCTCCCCCTGCCCTCCTCCATGCCGAAAACTATATTTGCTGGTTCATTACAACAACACACTGAACATCTGTTGCAATAATGACCTCTGGGTTGCTCTAAAGCTAGCATGGGGGAGAGGAGGGCAGTGAAGGGTGAGGGAGAGGAAAATAATTCATTGATGAAAAAGCACCACTGTTAACTAGTTGTGGCAATTACAAATGCCTACGACATTAGCAGACACGTAGGTAAACACCATTTCTCTTTGTAATATTATATTGAAGAACAAGAATAGAATAACTACATACATTACTTATCCTTCACGCTATACATGGGAAGGCCAGGATCAATAGGGGAGTTGGGGGGAGGTTGTTTTCATGTTTAGGGATGTATTTCTGTTACACGGGATTTACATAGTAAGTGCAAAGGTTTGGCGTCATTGGGTCTCAACGAAAATTGCACCTTTAAAAAAAATAGGTTACATTTTAGCATTTAAGCGGGAACGGCTATATATAAACAGGCTAGAACAGGCAAGGAGCAGTTAAGAGAACCAAGAATGTGAAATGAAGCATGCTTTTAGATGAGGTATAGGAAGAACACCACAAATTATTGTGTGTGTTCATTTCATGATGAAAAAAAAAAGTTGCCATTTAGTGCAATTTATGCACAGAAGTGGAGCTGAAATGTATTTGTCAAACAAAGAAGGATAAAAAAAATAAGAAATTCTGGAATGGCTTGACAGCTCTTTTTCTGCTTTAACAAGACCGGCCAGTAGTTGATTCTTCTTTTTTTGCTGACCGTAGGTCATAAGTTAAGAGCAAAGAGACCCATATTCAAGGTCATTCATATATATCATATAGTACTGCAGTGGTTTTCAACCTATGGGTCCCCAGGTGTCTTGGCCTACAACTCCCAGAAATCCCAGCCAGTTTACCAGCTGTTAGGATTTCTGGGAGTTGAAGGCCAAAACATCTGGGGACCCACAGGCTGAGAACCACTGTGCTAAAGAATGGCAAAAGGATGACATTAAAACCTGCCTCTAATAAGGAAGGGGGGGATTAATAGCCTCAGCAAAATAATATTGAGAGATACCTAAAAAGAAAGAGAAAGTGCAGATTTAACTAAGTTTGAATGAGCTGTCTCAAAAGGCAATCCATGGAAAAATAAATGTGCAATGATATTTAAAGTAAAACAAATAGCAGCCCGGTGAAAGGGCGGATGTTGCAAACTTCTGTCCACAAACAGACAAAAGATATCCTTAAAAAATAGCAGCAAGAATAATTTTGAGTTGAGCAAGTAGAGAAAAGGCTTAGCTATCATGCAAACCCCAGTTCTCCCCTTTTTATTTATTTATTTGCCTAGATTAAGTTTTAGGGAGAAGGAAATATAACTTTATTTCATAAATCAAAACGGCTGTATATTGGTTACGTAGTACAGTACAGAAAGTGCAAATTGTCACTCTGTCAGATCAGTTATATGCCCGACGGAGATATATGGCTCATGCTATTCATGCAAGGGGACAGAAGCCGAGTCGAGACCCTTGTGGACTATGGAGTCACTGGAAAGCAAATGGCATTGCACCAAAAGCCTCCTTGCCTGTTTTAATCCAGATCTGCCCTTCCCCCCAGGAATCTTTAGCAAAAACAGAGAGGGTGGGAATAAAATATTTCAAACACTATATAAGTTAGCCTATTTATTTATTATTTATTATTATTATTGACCACAGGTTACTTCAGAGTCCTCTTCTGTTTTGAGAACAGTAGGAGGTGAGTTTCATTTGTACATACATAACACTGTGCTACAACATGAAGTACGTACAGAAAATCCTAGGTTTCTCCTTTGCACAAGAGGGAGGTGTACTACTTTTCATTCTTTATGTCCGCAAGTGGTGTACTCTTCCAATCGGGAAATGACCACAAGCTTCCATGTTTCAATGAAGCAGTCTTTAAGAGATGAGTTTGAAGATGAAGATCCATCCATCTTGCAGGATAGACGTTAGCATCAGATGTACTTCGGTACCTTCAGGACACCTAATTGGTGTGCTCTTTTGTTTGCCACGCTAAAGCCAAGTCAAACTGGTGTGAAAATTCAATTCAAGAACTGACCAATTGACTATTGCTTTCTGCATGGTTGCTGTGTAATTCACTCACACGCACACACAAAAACGCTCTCTAGAATAAATCTAGGGGTGAGTTTTTGAGGTAAATCTACTAAAATGTAACTGAACTATGTACAGTTTTATATATACACATACTTCTACACAGACTTTTATGTTCCAGTGGTAATACATAAAATGACCATCTTATTTGGTTGTACCAAATAATTCCAGCACTCTTGAAGAGAATGGGTGTTCAATATCATGAAATACTTAAGCCACACCTACACTCGCTACAAGAGTCATTTTCCCTGTCTTTTTCTTCAGTTACTGTTATCTTTTGTACAATCATAGTTTCCAATCTGAAATAAACAAAAATTGGGATGGCTACCCATTTGCTTAATAAACACTTCCGTGTGATGGTAATGTCATTGCTACATAGTGCCAGATTTATCAGAGGAGCTGTTTGGGAAGATCTTTTCTGTGGGCGTCACTGCAGGACTGCCCATTCCTGAGCTGCTACTGCTACTTGAACGATGCTGGACGACTGGGCGGATGGGTCTCATGGGCGGAGGCCTAAGTTGAGCTCCAGCAAGCCGGGCTGAGAGGGCCGGCTTGAAAGTGGTCATCATTTCAGTGGTTGAGCTGCTGCTCCGTCGCATGGCAGCATCCGGATCTCGGATCATGATGGTGTGAAGGGGACTGGCTGGTTCAGAGTTGACAGAACCTATCTGTGGGTTCTTCATGGGTTCAAGGGTGTCCAGGACCACATCTGGGGCTTGTTTCACAGTATTTTGCCTCTCAAGTTCACGCAGTTCATTCAGTGCTGTGCTCATTGTCTTTTCTATGTCCTGTAGACACAATAAAGACAGAAAAAGAAAAAAATTGTCATTCTGATGAGCTAGATTTTCTTGTATCTTAACATCATTTCTTTGCTTGCTTTAGTCAACAGACATGTTCAAAATGCAAAGTATGAGACTCCTGTACCTGTCACACTTGAGTCCTATTGCTGTGCAAGAACCTAACTAAACCATGCATCTTTGCTCTATGGAGTTGTTATGTAGTCATTCAACCATGATTGTTTTGAACCTCCAAAATAGCCATCAAAATCAAACTGAATTATTTTTCTGGTTTGTTGAGGGAGAAACAAACCACAGCAGAGAATGTACCTGTGTTTGGATGACATGAAGAACGAACCATAGAGTGACATTCCATGGTTTGTTTGACTGTTCCTGCTGCAAGTGAAGCACTCAATCTGCCAATCCACTTATTTCCATAGGAAACTCACAATTCCCTAAACCAGTAGTTCTCAACCCGTGTGTCCTCAGATTTTTTGGTCTTCAACTCCTAGAAATCCTAACAGCTGGTAAACTGGCTGGGACTTCTGGGGGTTGTAGGCCTAAACACCTGGGGACCCACAGGTTGAGAACCACTGCCCTAAACCCCTTCTAGTTAGGCAAGTATTACCACATGCTACTCCACTTCTTTCAATGGGAAACCTAAGATCGATTAACAGAGGGTGAAATGTAATGACTTGCAGACAGGTGTACCATCACATGCCAAAGATCTCACCTCTGAGGTACTTGGAGAAAACATAATGTGTGATTACTGAAATCCAAGCTTACAAAAGGTTTGGTCTGCAGGTCCTTTGTATAAGGCTTTTTACAAGTTACTCATGAAACAGACCTTGCCTCATATGATGGGAGTGATAGGAAGGAACCCATATGCAAACACCATGTGAGTGATGGGGCATTTCACAGTGTGATGACGTGAATAGTGTAGAGATGCCTTTCTCTCTGATGGTCACTGCTTGTTCTTGTTTTATCTCTTGCCCTCTACATTCTTAGCATTCTTCTCTCCGCTGGTTAAAAATATATTCCTAAGATAGCCTCGAGACCTTACAATGCTATTTTATTTTTACAGCAAAGCTAATAGACGACCCTCCATTCATCCTTGCCTCAACCTGCTAGAGCAATTTGAAAATTCTCAGTTTTTACCTCCTCCTCTTCCTCCTCCATCTTCTCTGCCCACATTTAGGTAATGGCCTATGCAAACAATTGCTACTTTCCATGCAGTAAGAATTTAAGAAGCATGAGACAAAGAGCCCCTATTGGTATTCAAAGAAGTGATCCTACTTTACTGGGCTTACTGCTGTGCAAATAAAGCACTAAACAAAATAAAAAATATAGGAAAGGCATTCATATTAAAGCAAACTTTCCAATTTCCTTTCAAGATGGGATAAAAGGGTATTAAGCCTAGGCACAGCAGAACCACCGGTGTCTAAAAACCAGAACATAGAATCAAAGAGTTGGAAGAGACCTCATGGGCCATCCAGTCCAACCCCCTGCCAAGAAGCAGGAATATTGCATTCAAATCACCCAGAACACCTTCACCCATTAGGGTTACTATGGTGAAATAGACCACTACGGTAACAAGCAAGCAACCAAGTGACAACATAATCAATCCATCAACAGCCCACACAGAAAAGGGTGACAAAAGCTAATAAGTGTTAGATGGAAAATAAACAGCTCCACCAACCTTTGAGCAACCCATGCAGCAAGAAGTAAAGAGAGGCTCAGCCAAAAGTGCAGAGAAACATGTTTTCCCATTTAGACCTTCAAAGCTACCTTACTTCATCTTCCAGATTTTTGTAAATACACAGGCAAAGACACCTCTGACTTTTCAGGAGTCTGATACTGTTTGCTCTCATTTCTCCTGATGCTTGTTCCAAGCAAGACAGCAATCTCCTGGAGAGATCCAACTCTGTCACCAAACGCCCTCGTCCCCTCCTCAATGGCACAGAGGAAAGGGGAAATGATTTCCCTTGGGACAACAGTTGGATGGGAAAATCTAAACCTCCTTTCTCTCTATTGTAGAATCCCAATAAAACCAACTCTCCTTGGCAGACTGTGCCTGTTATTAAATATCAGGTAATTTTGCTAATGATGAAGTACAACCCCCATATCTGTGGGGGGGGGGGGTCTATGCTAGTACTTTGTAAAGATATGAGAAACTCTAAATTATAGTAAAACCTATTATTTTCAATGGGACACCGGACAGTGCTACTGAGAAAGGCATGCAACTTGTACAGGAGACCCTAAGGGAATAACTGAATAAGTGAAACTGTGTATATCAGTTCCATAGATATGGAGGGTCATACTGTACCTTCAACATTACATCTAGTATGGCCTAATCAGACCTGAAAAAATAACCCTCCCTGTATTAGCTATTGGTTTATCATTTCATACCTGCTCTCACTTTTCAGCTTAAACTGGCTCTCCAAACTGTTTAAAATTAGAACTCAGACAAATAATTATGTATTCTTGTTATAATTATGTGCCTTCAAGTTGATTCTAATGTATGGCAGCAGCTCTCTCATAGTGGGCTTTTTTTTTTTTTACATGACTGATTCAGAAGAGGTTTGCCATTACCTTCCTCTAAAGCTAAGTGTTATTTGCTCAATGCCACCCAGTCAGTTTTCATGGCTGAGCAGGGATTCAGACTATGGTCTCCCAGGATCCTAATCCAACTCTCATACTACTACACCACACTATAATTTGTGCCTAACATAGTACAGGTACTTTTCTGTGAACCCAGGCATATTTACTTTTTACCATAGAATCATAGACTAATGGTTGGAAGAGACCACATGGGCCATTTGCCATGCAGGAACAGCAAATACAAAGTATGACAGATGGCCATCCAGCCTCTCTTTGAAAGCCTCCAAAGAAGGAGCCACCACTGCACTCTGAGGCAGTGAGTCCCACTGTTGCAAAGCTCTTATGGTCAAGAAGTTCTGCCTAATGTTCAAGTGGACTCTCCTTTACTATAATTTGGAAATACGCCTGCTCCCTCTTTCTTACGACATCATTTCGCATATTTATACATGACTATAATTTCTCCTCTCAACCTTCTCTACTGCAAGCTAAGCACACCCAGTTCTTTAAGACACTTCTCATAGGTCCTGGTCTTCTGACCTCTGATCATTTTATTCATCCTCCTCTGGACATCTTCCAGCTTGTCAATATGTCTTTTAAATGGTGGTGCCCAGAACTGGATACAGTATTCCAGGTGAGGTTTGACCACAGTAGAATTCAGGGGCACTGTGACTTGCCTCGATCTAGACACTACACTCCTTTTGATGCAGTCCAAAATCCCATTGACTTTTTAAGCTCCTGCAGCAATTGTTGGCTCATATTCAATTTGTCATCCACTAAGACTCAGGGCCCTTTCATACAGTCATATAACCCAGAATATCACAGCAGAAAATCCCACAATATCTGCTTTGAACTGGGTTATCTGAGTCCACATTGCCATATATTTCAGAGCAGATAATGTGGGATTTTATTCAGCTGTGTGGAAGGGGGCTCCAAGATCTTTGTCACAAGTACTGTTGTTGAGCCAGGCGTCACCCATCCTGTATCTGTGCATTTCATTTTTTTCTGCCTAGGTGAAGTATCCTACACTTCTCCTTGTTGAAATCCATTTTGTTAGTTTTGGCACAGCTCTCTAATCTGTTGAGGTGATTTTGAATTCTGATCCTGTCACTTGGAGTATTAGCTATCCCTTCCAATTTGGTGTCATCTGAAAACTTGATAAACATACCCTCTAAATCTTCATCCATGTCATTAATAAAAAATATGTTCCTTCTTGTGTACTTTAGATTTTCAAAGACTGGTTTTCAACTTTGATCTCATGGTAGATTTGGAATTCAGCTGACAACATCACTAGCCATTAGCCACTGGTTAAATGTGTGATGTTTTGGGGGTTGCAATCTACAGCATTTGTGGAACCAAAGACTGAGAGCTACCAATTTAGGGACAATTTCAAGGATGGGAACTGTGTTGTCTTCAGTTGTTGTTCCAGTACAACTCTCACTGTACTTCTCACCACTAGCTGTGCTGGCTGGAGCTGCCAGTAGTTATAGTTTAACAACCTTTAGAGGGCAGGAGGAGTATCACCTTTGAACTATTGTGCACTCCAAGATTCTAAATTTCAGAGGTAATTTGAATTTTTAAAAAGGTCATATCACTGGATGGGAAAGAGCAAGCTCAGCAACTGAGTTAGATCCTTAAAGTATTTGATATGGATGAGTCACAGTGAATAGTCAGAAAGCTTCAGTGCAGTACTATATCAAAATACTGCTGGGTATTTATTTTCTAGTTTACATACTTTCTAAAACCTCAATCTTAAGACACATTTAAACAAAGCATTTTTAAAAACCCAGAAATGTCTATTAGTAGCACTAAAACAATACATTGCTAACATACCGTGACTAACAGAATAGTTGAGACAAGTCAGTTTTGATGGTTTAATATAGACTTATATTAAAGTCAAGGAAAGGCATCTCTTTCCTAAAACATTTGCAAAGACTGATATTCACATAACAGGCATAGGCTTCTACCTCAGCCAGGGCTTCAGCCTCTAGTGATTTCTGATCTCCAAGACTACTGTGCCGGGTTGAACTACTGGTCGGCCTCAGCGGATGTCCATCTGTCAGTGCCTTTCTGTCTGGATAGTTGATACTGCCAGCACTCCCAAAAGTTGCCATCCTGCGCTTCTCTGGGCTCTCCATCCTGCCCCTGTTCAGAGGTAATATGTGAGGGCTGCTAGGGCAAGCTGCAGCTCGTGGAGGGGTGTCAATCCCAGGTCCCATCCCTCTTGGAGGGCTGTGAGTATCCCCTCCACTCCGGCGGCGAGGGATCGCAGCTCCATCTGATCTCAACCTCACCCTGTAGGGAGAAAAAAGCGACACGCCCATGAAATCATTCCTTGAAGAAGGCATGAGGACGAGCGAGCGGCCATTTCAAGCTTAAGCAAAGCACAAATGACACAGTCTGGCTCACACATTTCCTGCAGCTTGTGAAGTTGGACTTCCTTGCCTGGCACAGAAAAGGAGAGAGAGACAGAGATTGAAGGAAAGAGAGAGCAAGAGGATTCTTGCAACAAGATGAGAACAAATCCGTTTCCTACCGTCCCATCACTCCCCCAAATCCATAGTCTGGAATATGGTCAGTCGGAGACTGGATGTCATTCTTTGATGAAGCTTTATCGTCCAGTAGTGGTCCACTGCTTGCCTCGCTGTCTGCCTTCTGGCTCAAGCTGTCGGAGAATGCATCATCCCTATGAAGAAAGAGACCCTCCATCATCTAGAGAAGATAACCGAAGGCCTCATGTCTGAAGAAGGTGTCCTACTGGGAATTCATGCCTCTACTTAGGCTCGGCATTGATGGAAGAGGAAACACAGTGATATTTGAAGAGAGAGGGTTATCTATAAAGCATAACTGAAAATATATCAGGCCCCATATTAGGAGAAAAAAGGACAGTAATCAATCAAACAAATATAAATAAATAATTAAATTTCAACCCTGTTGCCTATCTATTTCTAAACATCACCAAGTCCCTAAACATGAGAAACAATGACACAAACAGTCATGTTTCCTTGACCCACAGTTCCCCTTCTCTATTTGGGGGGGGGGGGCAATAAGATCACTTTTTGCTCGTGAGCGCATAATCAGTGGAGAAACATAAAGAGCTACTCAATATATGCTGGCAAAAAAGAATTGACTGGATATTTTCTTAATGTGTTATAGAAATGTCATTTGGAATGAGAGGCGGATGAGCTCCCTCTATTGGCTCCAGCTCCTCATGCGGGGACATGAGAGAAGCCTCCCACAAGGATGATAAAACATCAGAAATCATCCGGGCGTCCCCTAGGCAACGTCCTTGCAGATGGCCAATTTTCTCACAACAGGAGCGGTTGCTCCTGACACAACAAAAAAAAATGAATTGCCAAGAAAAAAAGAAAAAAAATAGCCTATGGAAACCGATAAAGTACTACTTGTTGACATATGCAGAGAAGGGCATTGACAGTCCCCATCACTGGAAAGCTTGGAATGTATTTATCTATATCACAAGCTGGTATCATGTGGCCCACAATATGTTGCTGAATGGCAACGTGCAGAGTTCTTACCATTGACATTATGCTGGCTAGGGTTGCTGGGAGTTGGAGTCCAACATAATCTGGACAGCCACATTTTTGGCTCCTGGGGGGTTCACAGAAATAGCCATGGGGTGGGTTCCAAGTGGGCCACAAGCCACACCCTTATTCTGGAATAATGGGCATTCAGTCCTAACTTGTATGCGCCACAACAGATTTGATCTCTATCACTGCTGGTTATTTGGAGGGAGGGATCAAGAAAGTCTATTTTTAACCTCTCCTTGACATCAAACAGGCAAATCTTACCAGCTACACAGAATCAAGACCTGTGTTAGATATTTAGTGATAATATAAACATTTTAAGGGCCACTTTATTACCCCCTCCCCCCCCCCCATTATAAAGCTATGACATCTCAGGCAGGAAGCAGTATCATAGCACTTATTTGGAACAAGGAATAAAATTTTCACAAGGTGGTTTGCTTCTCATTTTTAGGGCACGTAGATTATCTGCTATATCTCAATGGATGCTGCTTCCTATTTTTACTATGTAAGATATAGTGCAGAGACTTCTCTGAGCAATGACTCATACAAGGTGACAGCAGGAAACATCCGCTAGCAGAAATAGATTTTACCATCATCTCTGAGTGTAGAATGGTTAAATATGCACATAGAAAGCTGCTTGATATCAAGTTAAGATGATTTTGCCTCTCATTCACGTTTCCGCCTACTCCAGTGCAGGGTGTCAGCTGCTATCTGATCTGCTCAGCTGGAAAGGCTAGGGCTGAACTTGCAAACACTGAAAAATCTTCCCCACTGATCTATGGGCCATCCATTAATTCAGGGGTGGCTCTTCAGGTGTTACTAGATTCCAACTTCCATCAGCTCCAGCAGCCAGAGCTACAAATGATTCAATCCAAAAATTTCTGGAGAATCATCAGTCCCTAATCTAAATAGAATCATCTATCCCTAGTCTAAACCACAACCGGCAATTTGCTATCTGGATGAGACAAGAGGGATGTTACATCAACAGGTTTCTCACATTTTTCCATTCTTCTTCACGTATTTCTGCTTTACTGTCTAGAAGCATTCCTCCCCCCCCACTCCCCCGATTCACACACACACACACTAACCAGGGATCGTGTGGGTAACACTATACAATCCACTGGAATACTATTACTGCTGAAAATTGGGAAATCCTCAGCAATACTTTTGATATATTTTAACCACAGAAATTGACAGAAAATAAACTTCTTTACAACAGTCTAATTTGTGGGTTGCCATTAGAATTAGATTGTATCAGTTGGTAAAATGCATGGAACACATTGAAAAGTGTACACAAGTTCCAGATTTCTTAGCCAAACTTGTAGAGTATTTAATATACTCCAACGCCATGTTAAAGGTGAAGTACTATTTTGTTTCATTTAAAAACTGCTTTCTATATCTTTTGGATGTGATGGGCTTCAATTCCCACCATTCAGACACCTAAGGTGATGTTGGGTAAATAAGATGTGTACCTTTTACAGTAACTCACAATGATGTTAGACACAGACTAATTTGTAAAATATGTCTCTTTAAAACCTAGTAAAATAGATTTTTCCATGTGTTACTTATACTGTATAGGCCAATTAGTATCACAATTTGTATTAGGCTATCCCCTTCCACAAAGAACTGTGAATTCTTACACAAGAATATATAATTTAGTGTTCTATATCAGTCCCGGATGCAACTCTCACAACACGCAAGCGTTTATATTAAAATCTCTTGCAACTGTGGACAGTCCTGATCTTTATTTGCATGCAGTTCAGGGAAAGAGAGTCAGTGCTCTCCTTGAAATGCAATTAGTACCATGTATTTCAAAATAAACCAAAACAGGACACAAAATAATTGTGGGATAACAAAACCAGCCCCCAATCCAACTCTTGAGAGAAGCATTAAGACAACACACCAGTTTACACACACTCCACAGGACTTCATTTCATCTGCTTCTTTGAATCAGAGTATATTTAAAAAATAAGATGCTGTGCAGTTAAGGTTCTTGCCACTTACATGTCTTGTACTACAATGTACTGATGTGGTATGAGCCCATCCACACCATTATGTCGACCTTCCCACCAGTCTTCAGATGCCCGATGGTACAAGAGGAGAGAGGCTCCTTTCTTGAAGGACAATTCACGTGGGGACCGGCCAATGTAGTCAAACTTGGCAATAGCTTCAATCTGCTCCACCTCTATACAGCCAAGAGACAGAGAGGGGGGAAAGGACATAGGAAAGCTGCAATCATAAACATCGATAGACTGTTATCTGAGCCATAAGCAAACGTTTCTGTAAAATGGTATTGCAAATTTTAATCCTTTATCCCAAGGATTCTTCTTCCCGGAAAAAAGTGTTTGTTCACTGATACACCTTTGGATATAATAAAGCTTAGGAACATTATTTTAAAAATCTACACAAGAAATAAGAAGCAAAATTTTACAAAGTTCATTCTAAACTTTGGTGAAGATTCCTGTTCACTGTATGCTGAGTTGAGCTTTAATGCTATGACAAATATGAAATATGACTGCCCTATGACCTTGGAGATTTTAGTCAGGTTTCTACTCTTAAAATAGTAAGGACAGCATAAGCCCTTGATATAATAATAATAATAAATAATAAAACTTTATTTGTATCCTGCCACCATCTCCCCAAAGGGACTTAGGGTGGCTCACAAAACACTTAATAGCATGATAACACACAAAATACAATAGATATGTGAATGTATAAAAACAGAACAATGAACATTATACACACAAAGTTTAAATAAACTATCTATAAAAACCCTTCCTAATTAAAACTTCTTTTATGTGTAGGTCTGTGTGCAACACTGAACAAGAAAAAGGCAATTGTAGTGAATCTCCAAATGCTGATTTCTTGCATCACTGGCAATGCTATCTTGGGCTCATGGGGCCACAAGTTGTTGTTCATATCAGTATTTGACTGGGGTTGTTTAGATGATTACCATTCATGAAGGCTGCCAGGAGCAACTCACTGCATTGGACAAACAGAGCAAGTTCTCACCATCTTCTTAGGTCCCATCATTCTAGTGAGCAACTCATGATTTTAGGAATTTTCTGATCAGTCTTTTTCTTCTGTTTCTTGTAGATGTGTAATCACATCTTCTTTGTGGTCCTTCCTTGAACCACCCTTCCCCTATCAATGTGTACAAGCAGACATCATCACCACCTTTTAAATATCTTGGCAGAAGGCAGAGTGGTCCTCCTGGTCTTGGACAATGAAAGAGGGCTATAGTTCCATAATCCCACTTCAACTATGGCAATATCCAACTCAGTTCTGCAACTTGAAGTTTACAATTCTAAGCCAAAGAGCAAAAGTAACTCATGGAAACACAAATCTCGGGATTCTATATGATGGAACCAAGTCTGTTAAAGTAGAATCATAGCACTATATTTGTTGTTTACCAAATTTATTTCATGGTGTGTCTATGAAGGTGGATGAGAAGAGTCCCAGGGAGGACTTCACTATTTAAATTTCTGTTCCTTGTATGCATGTGTATAGATAGATATTTGTGTGTGTGTGTGTGTGTGTGTCAGGAGCATCCTGTTGTGAGAGAATTGGCCATCTGCAAGGACATTGCCCAGGGGACACCCGGATGATTTTGATGTTTTATCATCCTTGTGGGAGGCTTCTCTCATGTCCGCGCATGAGGAGCTGGAGCTGATAGAGGGAGCTCATCCGCCTCTCCCCGGATTCGAACCTGTGACTTGCTGGTCTTCAGTCCTGCCGGCACAGGGCTTTAACCCACTGCACCACCGGGGGCTCTTAGATAGATATTACAGTTTTATAAAATCTGGCTTCACAGAATCATAGAGTTGGAATACACCTCATGAGCCATCCAGCCCAACCCCTGCCAAGAAGCAGGAAAATCACATTCAAAGAACCCCTGACCATCCAGCCTCTGCTGGCTTTCTTGAGCCATCCAGCCTCTGCTTAAAAGCCTCCAAAGAAGGAGCGTCCACCACACTCTGGGGCAGAGAGTTCCACTGCTGAACAGCTCTCACAGTCAGGAAGTTCTTCCTAATGTTCAGATGGAATCTCATTTCCTTTAGTTTGAAGCCATTGTTCCATGTCCTAGTCTCCACGGCAGCAGAAAACAAGCTTGCTCCCTCCTCCCTATAACTTCCCCTCACATATTTATACATGACCATCATCATGTCTCCTCTCAGCCTTCTCTTCTTCAGGCTAAACATGCCCAGCTCTTTAAGCTGCTCCTCATAGGGCTTGTTCTCCAGACACTTGATCATTTTAGTCACCCTCCTCTAGACATCTCCTTTCAATTGTGGTGCCCAGAAAAAGATACAATATTCCAGGTGTGGTCTGACCAAGGCAGAATAGAGGGATAGCATGACTTTCCTGGATCTAGACACAGTACTATTTATGCAGGCCAAAATCTCACAGGCTTTTTAAGCTGCCGCATGACATTGTTGGCTCATGTTTAATTTGTTGTCCACGAGGACTCCAAGATCTTTTCCACATGTACTGCTGTCGAGCCAATCGTTCCCCATTCTGTATCTTTGCATTTTATTTTTTCTGCCTAAGTGGAATATCTTGTATTTGTCTCTGTTGAACTTCATTTTGTTAGTTTTGGCGCATCTCTCTAATCTGGTGAGATAGCTTTGAATTCTGCTTCTGTCTTCTGCAGCATTAGCTATCCTTCCCAATTTGACATTACAGATTATATGAAGGAAATTCCAAATCCCATTCCTAATAGATTTTTCTGGATTTATTATTGTTAAAAATGTTTAATTCATTTTCAATTCCCATTTTCTGTATTCACTTAACCTATCACCGTGGTAGGAATTTTGAGGGAGGTCCTAATAACTTCAACCCTCTTGTTTTTCCCTATCTGCCTCACCCTTTTTTAATTCTTGACAAGACTGATGTAAGTGGATGCTAGGAACCTCCTTACTTATGTTTCATTTTTATATTAAATCTGGACATGGTATATTCTGTGTGATACTTGGTTTCCACGAAAGATTCTGGTTGCAAAAAGTTCACGGTCTAAACAAGTGCTCTTTGGGGATCCAGAATGGCAGAAAATGGTTTTTATTGCAGCTTGGGGCTTCCACGGGAATAAACGTAGGAGCATGTGATAGACAGGAAGGCAGATAAATAGACAGCTAAGCAAGTCAGAGACAGCTATCTAAAACTGCTTCAATTTGTGCTGAATTAAAACATTTGTGGTGTTCAATGTATTGTCGAAGGCTTTCATGGCCAGAATCCATGGGTTGTTGTAGGTTTTTCCGGGCTATATGGCCATGTTCTGGAGGCAATTTTTCTCCTGATGCAGGCGAAACGTCAGGAGAAAAATTGCCTCCAGAACATGGCCATATAGCCCGGAAAAACCTACAACAACCCATTTGTGGTGTTAATAGAGGACTCCCTGGTAAATTGCATCCTGGGTCGCTTGTACTGAAAAGCCTTACACTGAACATGCTGGGAAAGTTTCAGGAATTCCTTCTCTCTGAAGATCTCAGGGTTGGCAATTTTCCATTGTTAAAGATGTTGAACTATCTCAAAGTGCACCATCAGTGCATTATATCCCCTCTTATGGGCAACTGATGTACATTTTTTGGTAACCTTGTGGGCGAACACATTCTATTTCTGTTTAGGAAAAGTGAGTCATACCTTCCTATTTTCTTTTTGATCTAGATTTCTCTTCCTCTACATGTGGTCTGCTTAAACCTGTCAACCCTTAAACTTAGCAACGTTAGTTATGCAAGATACATCTTCCTCCAAACCTTCCCATCTATTTTAACAGATACTGTCTTATCTATTTTTCACCACCTGATTGCTTTTTGCTTACACTTGGAAAGTATGTTTCAGGGTGAAGTGACAAGATAGCATGGCTTTGTGTGGTAATGGTGAAAACCAACTCTGATCTGTGTGAATTGCAGAATCCTCTGCCACACATATATTTTGCTCTGACTGGGAACTGACTAGTTCCAGCTTCAAAACATGAAAAGAAATATTTCCCTCAAACATGGGCATTATCTATTTACATCCAGATTCAGATCATGTGAAATTTGCACCGAAGAGACAAGGAGACATGGATGAAGCTATGAGAAGTGTCCAGAGACTCCATTCCACCTGACACCCCATTACAAGTATCTATCTGCAGCTGCTTCCATAGGTAGAGTGTGAGACAGTAGGGTTTATTAAGTAATATTAGGGAACTATACTTTAATATATTAATACATTCAATGGGTGGGTTGGTAGGTGGGTGGGCGAAGCAGCGGGCAAGTGGGTCTTTGGATGGATGAACAAAAACTTATTGTTTCAGAACAAAAAGCAGCCCCCTTTTCCTTGTGTAATAGAGTACCCCCTTTTTCTACAGAAAAAAAGGGGAAAGTGCAACTATTATGTGATGTATTATGGTATTTGTATTCCATTGTCCTGTCATGAAATCCAGAGCTGTCTGTATTGTCTCTTAGCTGGTGCAGGTTGACCATGCAAGAGAAACTCAGAGAACAATCACCATCTTGGAGTGTATGGTTTCCGGGCTGTATTGATAATCACCAACTTTCTTTTACATTGTCTTATCCTGAGAGGTACCATACAACCATGCCACTCAATTGGAGAATGAAGCATAAATGAGGGGACACTATTTTGCAATAGGTGATAATGTAAAGATGTCTTTTTGGCAGGATATCCAATCAATATAAAAAAGTAACAACTTCTGTGGACCATTCTAAAAGTCCCGGGAAAGTACCACCAACCATTTCAGCAAAGGAAATATTATTTTTGTTCAATCTTCAGTGGTTTTTATTTTTTTAAATCTTTTTCCAGTGCAACAAAACATTTTAGTAATAACAAGTCACATTTTTTTGTAGACTTCATACAGAACTAGATATACAAGAGGTGTATTGCAACATCATCATTGAAAATATGTAAACACTTTCTCAAGTTGTAGCCACCATTCTACATTTGGGTTTAATAAACAGAGAGGAAATGGCTAGGACAAAAGTTTTCCCAATGAATCTGCTGAATTTGGCCATTGGGATATTTTTGACACTGCCAGTGCAATGTAATGGGACAACATAACTTTCATGTTATTTGTGGCTGAAATATGATGTAGCTAAATTGGTATAGGTGTTTGGAAGACCTGCCCAGACAGAGATAAAATTTGAAGACAAGTGTAGCTTGAAACCCAGTCACTTGTATTAGCACTTT